GGTATTGCAATCCAAAATACAAAAATAATATTGTGTTTGTAAATATCTAATTTTAACTAAATACAATCATTCGAGACTTCAAGGGCTACCGCACCTCGACCTGAAAAGATCTTGCTTGCTGCTTTCCTCTCCTAGTTGCAAGAATCTACACCTACATAGACGCCCACAAAACAGAATGTTTTCTGCGGTCTCATGTTCTTCCTGGCAGCATATAGTGTTTCTTCTATAAGTACTATCCGGTGCATATCCTTCTTAAGCGGCAGTGTCCTGTCAGGATTCCGACCAGAATCTTGGTCCCGTCGCGGTTTTCTTCCATTAATTCCTTTGTAAGACTTGCGGATGGTCCTTATATGAATATCTTTGTCTGCTTCATACCTGGGTGTTCCTCAATCAGATTTTCGGTTCGTTAAGGATCCACTTTTGAAAATGTTCTTTTTTATGGCAAGATGCTAGGTCACAGGTTTTGGAGAATTCATACTGGCTCCTTTTTTAGCCTATATGTCCACTTTCTCATTGTCTCTTCGGGTGCCTCATGCCTGGTGTGTTCCATTATGAATCCATTTTTGGGTGTATCCCTTTTTTTAACTAGGTGCTAGGAGACAATAGGGTCCGGGGCCTAGAGAATTCATATTGTCTCCTTTTTTTATCAACATGACCACTTCCTCATGACAATGTAGAGACATCTATACTCAGGGACGATGGTCATGTCATTGGTGTCACTGACTTCTGCCATTGATTAAAAATCATTGACATCAAACTTTCAATCATTATCCCCGGGCAACGCTAGGTTGTTCAGATAGTACTTTTATAAAAATATGTATGTCATCTGTTGAGCAACACTTTGTATTTAAAGTATATAAGTGTTAAAACTAAGTATTTAAAAAAATTGTACGTCAAACCCTTACTGTTTAACGTAATTTCGAAAAATAGACCTGTATTTCTATGATGCATTCCTATCTTGGATTTAGTGATTTTTTTGTTGCTTTTTAAACATCAAATCGTTTAGGTTGTTCACGTTTCGAGGTCCGTCTAATCTTGCTGATTTTGTCAAACCCAATATATAGCTGAAACAGTGAGGATAGGTCGACCAGGACTATTAGAGACGACAAGCTCTTGAGGAAATTAGCTCGAAAATCTGTATAGCTAATCTATACTACGATGTACATGTAACATGCTAATAAAGGTAAATATTTTGAGAAAAAAAACAATGTAAAAGATCCCGAAATATACTCTGATCCTGAAATCTCTGTCTGGTTAAAGTATCGCTGTTTCCGAAGTAATTGTTGCCTAGCAAACCCCATTTTCCTCAACTGCTATTTCCCCAGGTACAAAATGAGATTGAGTTACCGTGGAGATTACCGTTTTAGTTGTGTTTGAGCCCCGGTGTTCCAATAGTTTATGAACTGTTCATTCAACAATCAGCCTTTTACCCTTTATTTATCCAAGCCCAGATCAGGAAGACAGTCAAACTTGTGACAATAGATTAGAAAGTTAACTATGTAGGTTTTAATAATAACATCGGCTTAAGGGCGCCTCATCTTCGACCTTATCTGGAGAAAATTGACCTCCTTTATTATTTTTATCTTTTAACCATTATCTTCGGAACTTCTTGGCCAAATTTACCGTAAAAAAATATACCTGATTTTATGTTGAATAGTCGAATCCCGCTCGTACCATTGACTTTTTTATCTCAACTGAAAACCTTAATTGTAAGATTATGAATAGTTGAACGTTGAAAAGTTTGGTTACTGATTTGACCCCGAACAAAATATGTCTTAAATATGAATAATATTGATTTAAAAGATTCAATTATGTTAATTAGATTGCATAAATGTAGTTGTCAGGACTAGACATAAGCTAGCTAATCTAGGTCCTTTTTGTTAAATCGATTTGAGTACGTCATAGGTTTTATTTATATCCGTTATATTCGACCGAGGTCAAATTGTATTTTTTTCCTCATTTCCGGAATTTCATTTTCATTTTTAAATTAATTTCATTATTCGTTATATCGTTCAAACAAGAAAAGAATAGCGTGGCAAAAGGTCCGATGTATATCCACCCGCGTTTCAGTTTTCTTTGAGGGCTGGAAGGAAGGCTGAGCTGGACGGGGTTGCCATGAGCGATTTGGAGTGAAATTTATCGTGGTGAGTGTGGGCCAGGTTTGGCATGTAGGTTAAGACGAAGAAGAAGAAATTAAATTTTATTCTTGGGCTTAAAGTCCCCTTGAATAAAAAACTACGTATAGAGCCTTATCTAGTCTCGTGCTCAACACAAATACAAAACAGCAATTACAATTACAAAATATATATATTTATTCAGATATCGTGAGATATATATATTGTAAACATACACTAAAATGGACTGTATAAAATGAAAAGAGAGAATTATGTTTAATAATACATTCACAAGTTTCGTGGTCCGCTTGACCAATTAATTAAGGTTTTCAGTTGAGATAAAAAAGTCAATGGCACGAGGGGGATTCGAACCCACGGTCTTCGGCTTGATACGCCGCTACTCTACCACTTGAGCTATCGTGACCTCGATCCACTCGGACACCAACCTCGCATCTTAAACCTTAATTAATTGTAAGATATTAATTGGTCAAGCGGACTACGAAACTAGTGAATTTAATAAGTTAAAATGAAGTATACTTCACTAAAGCTCTCCATGGCCATTTCATTTGACGCCGAGAATCAAATTGATTACACGATATTTGAAAAATGGCAAAAAGGAGGGAAATTCAAAAGGTGTGGTTGAGATGGAGGTTGGTGTGTAGAGCAGCGGCGTATCTAGCCAAAGATCTTGGGTTCGAATCCCGCTCGTGCCATTGACTTTTTTATCTCAACTAAAAACCTTAATTAATTGTTTAATAATACAGTTGATTTAATAATAATTTAGGGCAACTGGTGTTAAGGTGCAATGACAGAAGGTAATCAAATAGATGGGACTTCTATTTCTAAATAGACAAGGGTAAAATGGAAGGGTTGTGGCGGATAGAGTGAGGAAGGTGAAGATCCAATTAAAGAGGTTGGATGAACGGATGAGGAAGGATCGACTGAAATCCGTAGTTCTGTGTTTAGGAGTATAGGGAGCAGAAAGACTAAAACTAGTATGACGGTAGTATGCCGAAGAATATTAAAGGTTAGGAGATCATATATATAAGGAGGGGAGTGGGAAGATACTGTTTGGTAAAGGAAGGGGCCAAGGATGTATAGCGTGCGGTGGGAAGGTATAACCACGTCAGACGAAAATACGTATCAGTCACGTGGGACCTCGTTGGAGAGTCGAACATAAAGTGTACAAAACAATTCATTAAGCGCTTAAGTCTATCCAGCTCTCCAGTGAGTCCCCCGTCATCACCCATAGTCAAAGTGTGGAAAAATAAGAGAGGAAGATAGGAGTTGACAGGTACTAATGAGAATGGCCTGGCACGACGTAATTAATAGAGTGTAGAAAAGCAGCGGCCGGAGATCAGGAAAATTTGAGGTTTCCAGGATGTCGGGTCAAGCACAATCCAAAGACTATGTTAACGATTATATTCTATTACGAGGAGAAAGAAACAGCCACCCATATAATCACGGAGCAACCGCCCAATGGAGACATAACCTGGGATAATGAGAAAACTCAGGGAATTGTAGGAAGAACAGTTAATTTGCCTTGTACTTCTAGGGAGAAGTATCGAATCGACTAAACTAAAGAACTAGGAAAGTCCAATAAGCCAGAAACCTGCAGTGCTTGTGGAATAAAAAATCATGATTTCCTAGTATCATATTCATCATGAAATGTGTGGTGATTAGCGACCGTTAATCGATAATTATTCAGAAATCGTGAGATGCGGTCTGGTGTGATAGGTTTCAGAAAAACATTTTCTTTATCGTGCCAACGTTTCGATCTTTATTGAGATCATCTTCAGGGCCTGGGATTTACAAACATTGTTTACATTTAACAAATACGATAAAGTATAACAAATACGAGGCACGATAAAGAAAATGTTTTTCTGAAACCTACATCACACCAGACCGCATCTCACGATTTCTGAATAATTCATCATGAAAGTTGAACAAGAAGAGTTAATCCGTGAAAACGCGCCTTTAAACGACACACTTGAGCATCTAAAATAATAATTTAGGATGGTTTTTTATCATATTTTATTTTCTTTGGATGAAAATGACCGGAAATGATTGAAATTTAATATTTTTAATATTTTTTTACTTTTTGACCCCATTCAAAAATGAAAAAGGAAATCTTGTCTTTTGAGCTTTCTTCCTTATTACCTTTTTTTCGCAATAGCAGAGGTCATATCACCCGGGGTGCCGGTGTTTTTGAAAAAAAAACCATTTGTAAATATGAAGGGTTCAAATTCAGCGACCTTGCATTCGCAGTAAACCAAGCCACCCTATTTAGGTCTTGGTTGAGATGAAATGTATAATTAAGTTAAATAATTAATATGATCAATTATGACTACTAAATACATATATGGATTAATATATATTAATTTTGTTAAATGTGATATTTTATATGGTCCAAATACAATATTAAACTTTTACGTTATATGAATTAAAAGGTGTTCGAGGAATGAGTGGTTTTACTCATTTTATGCGAGAGATTTATGTTTTGCCATGATTATTTTTAGAGTGTATTAATTCATAGTTTATGATCTAAGTATGACCTTTATACATTTTAATGCTTGTTTTATTTCCTTAGAGGGATATCATTATGAATCAAAATTTGTAGCCATGTATTTTCTGTTACTATTTCGTTTGTTATTGACCTAATATTTATTATTAGCATTGGCTTATTTTTATACGTTAAGAGAAAATTGGCGAGCGACGATATTTTTCCCTGATCTTTCCCTTTCAGGCAGAACAGTATCGAATGGAGGTCACAAAAGGGGTGGTTCTGAGAATTGTCCTATGACGTCACGCAACTATCCCTCCCCCACCCTTAAAAACCCCACCACCCCCAACAACGATCTGAGGTGCTCATCCTTCAGTTGTGTGCATTGACTCGCCGCACGCGTGTGCTTTGTGTGTGCTGTCACGGGCCCCCAACTCTCTTTTTCGTCCTGTGCGTTGTGTGTGTTTAGTTTTGCCGTTTAATTTTGGATATCTACCGTTATGAGACGTAAGTATTATTACCGATTTACAATTTACAAAGAAGCTTATGGTGCTTTATACTATGTAGTATGAAACCGTAAATATATTTACGACAATTATTGGTGCTGTACGAACCTTCTTCGACCATAAACAATAATTAATTTTAGAAATGTATGCTTCGTAAAAAAACTCTCTTAATAAAATTAACAGAGGCACAAAGTTATGCGCTTATTTTGCAGCTTTTTCCATCCAATCAACCAGTTTTTGGTATTTTGGTATAATGTGCCTTTTGGTTTGACTATGGCAGATTAAAAACATGCTTAGGACGACACAAGAAAGAAAAATTGTATGAAAATGTTAAATTTGGAGTTCTATTGATTGGATAAGATTTTATTAATTTTGTATGGATGGCGGATGACTTACACAGGTGAAATCACAAAGGTTTTTTTAAATTTTTTTGTAAGATTGCCAAGATATTAAAAAATCAAATATTAATAAAAATAATATTTTTGTCATTTTATTTTAGCCTGCCTGGAATAGTGGTTTTATTAATCTGACTTGATTTTTTGATCAATTTTACGTCTGTACCCATTTTGTTTTCCAAAGAGGTGGATTTTATCATTTCGTTTTTCTCTTAAAGATTTGCAAAAGTTGTCTCGAAATTAAAGTCGCATACAGTTATATTTTTTATGAAAATCTTTAAAAATGTACGGACATTTGAGAAAAATTAGAAGGCACAAGGAAAGAAAAACCAACTTGACAATAATAGGAACAGGCAAACTTCGCTCATCTCATATCACAAATTTGTGATGAAAGTTTAAGACATTGGTAGACAACGATTTTCTTCCGAAAACCTAAAAGATGCAGGGAGAACCAAGTACCAGAGCACAAAATAATTTTAGGTAATGAAAAGACAGACCCACTGGCCAGAGGAGGATATGGAAGACCATATAGGACTTCAAGCAATTCTTTGAATAAGAAAAACAAACGGAATCCTCCATCACATAATGGATCCAAAAAAGACAAAAGGATAAGTGGATAAACTACAGATTTCATTTTTTTATAATTTGGCCATTTTACAACTTGTCTGAAGGAACCTAACATACTTAATCTTTTAAATTCTTTAGTCCTTTTTAATCGATAGTTTTTTAAATAAATCGTCAGGGATGATATTTAGGGTTCAGGTAATCTGTATTAACTCGTGTCTGATCGGTTTTATGTACGTAAATAAAATAGTATGATTTACGATGTCGTGGAAAATACTAGAAACCATACTCACTAGTATGCAACACAGTCCTAAATCAATGTGAGATCGCAGTTCACCAATATGAAAAATACTTAAAAATAGCAACGAGTCGAAGTGAAAGATCTAGGAGGAAATAGATCCACGAGTACATCTTGACTATTTCATGCTAGCTGTAAAATGAACTATATTCTTAACAACTTAATATAGCATCCTTTGATTTTTTACGAATTCAGATATTGAATAGAAAATATTAGTCAAGGATTAAATAATCAATAAAGTCGTGTTATTTATTGACGCCATTCGAAAAGATTGAATGGACCCGTATTCGGGACGATCTTTAGACTTTATTGATAGGTGTTGATAACACAGGACGAGGATATTAAACGCTCATTTAAATAAAATTCAAGGGCTTTTGACACGAGTCAAAAAATAAACATTTACTTGGTTCCTGATAAATATAAATTAATTAATCCAATAATGATGGTTAATAAACTGAAGGCGGTGCACATGGTAGAAGTGTGACCTACCGCCCTTCCACCATGTGGTCACCCCTATGTCCTTTCCGTTAATTAGAACTGATCATGAAGGAAGAAGCGTCTACTGCTTATAACTAAAGGTAAATAACACTTCGGTTCAATGATAGTTGTGGTCGAAAAATATCTTTCCCCTTGATAAGTTGCAAAAAGACAAGAGGCAGGAGTCGCCGTCCTTCTACACCGAAACGGCCCATCTGTCCTGATTTTACGCCCTAGCTGATCCAGCGATTCGTGGAAAACTGTTTAAAAAACAGCGAACCTTCCTGGCCGTGACATAGAGCGGAAAGTGCGAAGGTCAGCTCGGACCCACCTGGCACCACAAAGTCGATACTGGTTGTTCGCATCTCGATCGGTTATCGAGAAAATATGCTCCTAAACATATGAGTCAATCAAGTTTAAATTCAAAATCAAATTAGTTATTGACTGATTGCAATACCGTATTAGTACTAATTTACAAAGTAAAGTAACCATTAACCGTCAACCATTAAAGTCGCTTAACGTGAGTTACAGTGCACGCGAGGTTTTGTAAGAATCAGTTGAAAATTTTTACTAAATCATGTTTTAATTATTTATTGGAGGGTTTATTTAAGGATTACTTGTATTAACGATTCTAGCTCAATATTTACAACAAAATATCACATGCTGTGACATGAATTCAAATTCGTAGGTATCAGGAATCAATTATCATTTCACAGTTTGAATTAATATGGGTTTGACATAACAGAAATTTGATATTTCTTATGTTGAAATCGTACCTAACCGATAGATTTATGGTGCAATGATTTCGGAAATAAAACCGATCCGGCGTTCCACAAGGGTACATTATTGGTCCCGTCCTGTATAGTCAATACATATCATAATGGTGATATGCCAATCCGCTCCAGCATCAAGTCAACTTATCCAGACGATACGGCGATATATGTACCAACTCGCAACCTATTCTAGCCAAAATCCACAAGCTAAGCTCATCAAAATTTGGGGCGAAAATAGAAGATGAAATTGAACCAAGACAAATGCTTATAAATCGCATGTACATTTAAAAAAATTACAGACATCCACACAAGAGAAATACTTAGGACCACACCGAGCAGACTGACGTGGAATCCTCAGGAGACTGAAACGACAAGGACTATACAGAAAACTCCAACAACTAAGAAGATGCCTGGATCAAACATGACTGTAACAAACTAAAGCTGTAACTATTTGGACATTCGGTACAACACTGTAGTCAAAAAGCCATCCGATATCCAACCAATCCAAAAGTCCTCGGAAAAATTCTCCCAAGCTCTTGTCTACGTCTTTAACCTCACCATCCACAATGACTTCTACTGTGCCTTCTTTCAGGATCTATTCCTGCTACCCGATTTTCCTCTTAACCTTTCATCTCACCCTAATCCTTCCGTTTAAGCACTTTATACTATCTTGCATCCTTTGAAATCTCCACTCCTCTTTAAACTACGTTCGCCCAATTACTCCCTTGTTCTACAGTAGCAGTGCTGGGCGTAGTGCCAGTGATATGACCTAATGAAAATCATTGCACAAATTTGAAAGGTTTGAATGTAGGAAACAAATAAATTAATATTTAAAAAAATGCCAGGTAAGATTAAAATTTTGTGATTCCTCGTTCTGTATCTAAAGCACACGGTTGAGTCCCAATTCATCAAGGAATTTGATTTTGTTCAGTATTCCTTCTACGGTTACGTGTCGTAAATTCCAAATTATTTTCTCCCGCGGGTAAGTAGTACCACCGGTGCGAGGGGTCACTTAAGCTTCTTCGAAGAATCTGCACCGTGTTGTACCAATCTTCTTCTAATGCCCATTTAGTCCGCAGTATCCTGTTGAAAATCCTGGATCTAAGTTTTTCCTGCTTCCTTTCATGAATTCTGTTGCTTCTTTCCTTCCACAGATTGTTAGGAGGTTCTTGGATTCTTTGTGGCTAATGGGTGAACCCTACATTTTCATCTTCATTTTTTCTAAGGTACTCATTGATACTGTGAATCCCTATGCCGGAAGGGCTCAGGACTAACAGCGATACAGCATCCCCTTTCCTTCGTTTTCCTCTCCTCATCCTGGGATCCAGTAGAGAATAAACTTTATTTGGCAAACCTAATTTGTTTGATTTAGTTTTGCAATTCAACACCGTTTTCGAGCTAATGATGTTTGAGTTTATTGCTTTGTTGGCTGTCTGGCTATCTGAACTGACTTCACTTGGAAGATGCAGGACTGGTGCGTGTTGTCTCTTCAGCTTCTTCGAACAATCTGTACTGTGTTGGTTTATACCAAACATTTCAAATGCCAACTCAGTCTGCCTGCCACGTTAGGAATCTTCATAGGATTCTGAGTCTTTTCCTGCTTCTTTTGATGCGTTCTATTGTTTCTTGGTTTAAACATCTCTCTCCTGGATTGTTTGTGTCCAGTGAGTGAAGTCCTACGTTTCGTCACTTTCACCATGTCTTCTTGTCTATGCTCATTGATAGTATGGACCCCTATGCCACAAAAGGGCGCTGGGCTTCTCAAGAGAGTAGTGCCAATGATAGGTCATAGTGAAAAATCATGGCACAAATTTGTAAGATATATGAATATATTCAGGAAAAAATATTATAAAAAGAAAAACATTTGTTAAATAACAACAATAAAAATTATAAAGTTCGTCGAAAAACCAAGACCAATACTAACGTACAAGAGTAATTTAATGGGGTAAAAAACGTTCTAATTTTAGATATTATCGTCAGAAAACGGAAGGAAAAATATTCAATGTTATCTGCAGTATTGATAAACGCGTTGGGTATCAGGTTGTTCTCGGTATGCCCTACTCAGGAGGCGAAAGCGATACTTAATCGGAGGATCCACCGTGATATCCACTAACATGTGAATTTCATCATTCCCGGCGCAGTGAAAAACATAAAAAGTGTAATTTTTATGGAAAAGGTCACCTGTACAAATAAGTCGCAAATCCAAATTTTCCTCACACAAAATATACGCAGCTCGTTTAATTAAACTCGGTTATAAAAAAATAATTTTCAAAAATGATTTTTGAGTGCAGAAAATTAAATTGAGCTGAGTGAGTAAAAGTAGTTTTGTTTTGACCGTTAGTGGACATGGACATGCATAGACACGTTTGTGGCTGCTCAACTCAGCCTTGAACCCATGAGCGAGGTGCGTTGTCTCCCCTCCAAAGAACTGCTTCAGGTAAACAGCTTTATAAGGCCTCATCTCCCTTTCTTAAGGTATAACTTTGTTCTCCCT